CCAGCTCAACTGGTGAGACCTTAACAGGCTTGTTCCTTGGTTCCCACCTAGTTTTTAAGGTATGCTTTGAGCTGGTGGGGTCCTTGGCACAGGGAAAAGGGGTTAATTTTGGAAGCTTAGCCAACTGGTGAGCTTCAGGAAGGTTTCACATAATGCGCCTTTCATTTAAACAGTTACTTGGCGGTTGGCTAACAGCTGTTCTCGAAGGACTTCATTTAAAAAGACCTCGTTTTCTTATTTCCTGTTTTAGATCCTCAAGAGTCTTGGTTACAACCGACTTGTCCTCCAAATTGGTAGAGGCACAGTGGTCCCTGAATCATTCAGTAGTGATTCATTCACTCTGGATGTTTACAGGTATAAGGATTCTTTGAAAGAAGACCTTCAGCAAGCAGATCTTGTCATCAGCCACGCAGGTAAAGTGTCTGAGAATCTTGGGTTTCTGTCTTTGATTAAAAACAGACATTTTAACATTTTCAGACTGAATTCCTGAGGACTAGAGTGGTAGGGTACATACCTAGCATTTGAGAAGCCCTGGGTCCAAATCATAACCACCACGATAAAGAAAGCCTGGCTCCGTGGTTCATAACTAATTCTAGTAATTGAGAGGGAAATGTAGGCAGCCTGGGCTACCTGAGACCCTGTCTTTAAAAGCTGTAAGTTAATTACACAGAATAAATCCATTGCAGCTCCATTTTTAATATAAATACTTGACTTGAATATATCCATTGAGAACCTTAGTGTAAAGATGAAGGACGTTTCTGGGCAAGAGGAATTGAAGTTATTTTAGCCCACTGTTACAGTAAAAAATCTCTGAACACAGAAGAGATAATGATCATAACAAATTGTAAACTTGAAATTATTTGGGCTTAGAGCTAAACCTTTTCAGTGGTAGGTTGGGTTGTACAAATTGCCATTTAAAGATTGTCTTTAGCATTTTTGTTGAATGTATGTAAAATAGATGCAATAAAATAAATTTTATATAGCATATGGTAAGAAAATTAAAATTTTAGATTTATAAATTATATTCAGGGACATAAGCTAATAGATTTAGAAAATATGTCTTATATTTTAAATATATATTCTATATTCATATTTTTAGTAATGTGTAGCCTTCATCAAATCAAACTAACTGAGTTCCTGAGATTTCCAGTACTTTTATTTTTTTATTTTTTTCCGAGACAGGTTTCTCTGTGGCTTTGGAGCTAGTCCTGGGACTAGCTCTTGTAGACCAGGCTGGTCTGGAACTCACAGAGATCTGCCTGCCTCTGCCTCCCACATGCTTGGATTAAAGGCATGCTTCACTGTGCTCCCAACTATTCAATATTTATTTTTTAGTTGTATTTGTACACCCTGGAACTGGAGTAATAGGCAATTATGAGTGATCCAGTCAAACTTAGGTCCTCAGAAAGCACAGTATATGCTTTTGAATTTTGAGCCATCTTTAACCCTTCCACATTAATTTTTAAAATAGGGTCTCATGGAACCTGACAGGTTAATGAACTCCAGGGACTTTCCTGTCTCCCTTCTCCCCTAATTGGTGTTAGAAACTGAAAAGCTTTTAATGTGCGTAGCTTAATTCTTGTAAGGCCTCAACCACCTTTTCTGTTTGCATTTGGTTAGAAGTGAAGTAAATTTGTTCAGTGGTATCAGCTAGGGATTTGGTAATCTCAGGGCTCTGGAGGTTCAAACAGGACAATAATGATACTGGTGAGTTCAAAGTCAGCCTGGGCTTTGTAGCAAGTTTCAGGTGTAGACCTTCTATCCCCCTCCCCACAAAAAAGCCTGTCGGAGACAAATTTGTTGATGGTTTTGTCTTTTTTGTTGTTGATACAGAGTCTGCCTGTGTAACCCATGATCTTCCTGCTTTAATCTCCTACCTGCTGAGATTTGGGGCATATGCCACTAAACCTGACCTACATTTGTCATTTTGAACATATAATTAAAAGGTTTTATATAGTTTTACTGACTAGACTATTCAATTTTACAAATTAAAACTAATGATATTAGTATTCTGAGTTTTAAGAATTGAATTAATAAATAACTATTTTTGTAGGTGCAGGAAGCTGTTTGGAGAGTCTGGAAAAAGGCAAGCCACTTGTGGTAGTTGTAAATGAAAAGTTAATGAACAATCATCAATTCGAATTGGCAAAGCAGTTGCACAAAGAAGGACATCTTTTCTATTGTACCTGCAGGTATACTAGAGACTGATCAATTGATCTCTTGCTTTAAATTCCTCCTCAGCTGTTATTACCCACTTGCCTGACCTTTATATATTTATGTTTTTCACACTCATCAATTATACTTCATTTTTTTCAACTATAACCTCTTATTTGTCTTTAACTCGACTCTGTTCTGTGTTGTGTTTTTTCCTGTATTCATGACCAACTCTTTGTATGTGAATTTGAATGTGTGCAGATCAGTTTTCAGTCTTCAAAGAAGGTGTATGCTTATATTAGTTAAGGAGTAATTGATTTAGTTATTTTGACAGTCTCATATATGTACATAATGAATTTAGCTAAAGTTTGACTTTGGGTAAATCCACTGGAAGCCCTAAATTAAATATATTCATTCACATATTCTCTTCTTCCTTATATAAAGTGGGTAGTGTTTTAAATGCTTGGGTTATAGTGGCAAGGATTGTGCTTGCATTGGGTGGTAGAATTTCACATGGTGAACTATTCTACAAATAAAAAGACAGGACAGTGTTATAGCTGGAGTAAGGAAGAATTAGGTAGACCTCAGGACGGGTATGAAAAAAGGACCTGATGTTTGAGGTGAATCCTGAATTAGAAGGAAAAACCAGTCATATGAAGTTTATAGTCAAAGGAGCTTGAGTTACATACAAAAGCCTTAAACTTAGGAATGAACTTGGAGTTGGAAATGCTTGAGGAACAGGGAAGGTTGGTATGGTAGAAGCATAATGACCAGGGAAGACTGATTATGAAGCTGGGAGGGCATAGCTGATTTAAGAGTTCTAATTTTATTTTATGTTTAATAAGAAGCTACTGCAGCACTTTAAGCAAAGGGATCTTTGGTAAGGAATATTGTTTTATCAGCATCGCAGTAGAAGCTTGAAGAAAAATGCTGTTTTTCTAATAGTTCTTCTTTGGGACACTAGAAGCCAAAGGGCCAGGTCAGTAATTCCCAGTTGCTTGATTTTAAAATCTTTTCTGATTTGATATTTTTTTTAAAGTAAGTAACCTCATAAAGAAATTAAGTGTATGTCTATATCTGTGTTTTATGTTAAAGTTAGAACATGGTGTATTTTTGGATTTTATTTTATTTTTTTGTTTCAGGCATTTGGCATATACTTGTGTGTTCATTAACTATGGAACACGTGTTACATGCCATGTCTTTTTAGGCATTTGGAATGTACATATTACATCAGTGAACAAAGCTTGATAGTCCAGTGGAAGAAGACAGATTCAGTCAGTCACTATTCCAACAGTAAAGTTGATGGTGTGCTCATCTCTATTATGGTGGAGGAAAGGGAATGTTGTCTTGGTACAATAACTCAGAAGAAATGCTAGAAACTATGAATGGTTCAGATAATTGGTGTATCTGCCCTTAGTTGGTTGATACTATTAAGAGTTGACAACACCACTTTAAAACCGGAACAGATCTTGTATTTCCCAACTACTGTATGCAAGTTAGTATTTCTAGAGGCTATTGAAAAGGATTTTCTGTATTTTTAGTGATAGTCTCTATGTATACATCCCAGGCTCACCTTGAACTGCTGATTCGGCCGAGTTTTTGAGATTATAGGTAGTTATGGGCCAGCTAATTAGCTCTGATTTTGTTGTTGTTGTTAGTATATTATAAAAGAGAAAACATTGATTTTTTTTGTGTTTGTTTTGTTTGTTTTTTTGAGACAGTGTTTCTCTGTGTAGCTTTGGAGCCTATCCTGGCACTGGCTCTGGAGACCAGGCTGGTCTTGAACTCACAGAGATCCGCCTGCCTCTGAGTGTTGGGATTAAGGGCATGCGCCATCAATGACCGGCTTGTTTTTGTTTTTTGAGAAGGTTTCTCTGTAGCTTTGGAGCTTGTCCTGGAACTCCGTTCTGTAAACAAGCTTGCCTTGAACTCAGAGACCTGCCTGCCTCTGCCTCCCAAGAGCTGGGATCAAAGGCATGCACCATCACCTCCTCTCTTTCTCTCTCTCTCTCTCTCTCTCTCTCTCTCTCTCTCTCTCTCTCTCTCTCTCTCTCTCTCTCTCCACACCCTACACACCCTACACACCCTACACACCTACCTAACTTTCTGCAGGACAAAATGACCTGTTTGTGTGCTATGTTGTGGGCCTGAAGGATGGGGTCAACTTTGAAGTGTTCTCTCCTTCTGCCATGTGGGCTCTGGGCATTGATTTCACCATTTTCAGCAGTTTCTTTGCCCCCCTCCCCAGTTTTAGAAACTATTAATTTTAGAAAAGTCACTAAAATGAAAGTATCATGAAGCATTGATTATATTTTCCCAAACTTACGTTGGATGGTGGTATGTCTGTTCAAATATAATTGACTTTTGTTAAGTTTCTAAAGTAACAGTTTTATGATGTTTAGAACCTTTCTTTCTTCTTTTTTTTTTCTGGTTTTTTCGAGACAGGGGTTCTCTGTGGCTTTGGAGACTGTCCTGGAACTAGCTCTTGTAGATCAGGCTGGTCTCAAACTCACAGAGATCCGCCTGCCTCTGCCTCCCGAGTGCTGGGATTAAAGGTGTGTGACACCACCGCCTGGCTAGAACCTTCATTTTCAACAAGTGTGGTGACCATGTAATTGATTGATTAGTTATGAATTCATGATAATTTTCAGTAAAAAGTTTTCTCACAATCTGCAGGGATGGTGTATTTTTAGTGTAGTCATCCTATCTTTTTTGTCTGATACCTATTGTTTTGGTTTTATTTATTCTGGTTTCATGAATTAACTTTGTTTTATTTTATATTTGTGTGGTCATGGAGAGTATTAAAAAGCAGTGTAAACACGTTTTCTGAAACACTTCATTTAGCTGAAATAAAAAGGTTTATTCAATAATTAATCCGACATGTTATAATACCTACATTTTATAGTGCCGGCATTTTATATAGTACTCGTTTTCTTGTTAATATTAATGTGTATGTCTCCATAATATTAAAATATATAAAAATTCACAGTTCATTCATCAAATGGGAAGCAGAAAAGCTATGGAATTTTCTCTCATGTTACCTGATGTTTTTCTTCTTTTGTTTTAGCACGCTTCCTGGGCTGTTACAGTCAATGGATTTATCAACACTGAAATGTTATCCTCCTGGCCAGCCAGAAAAATTTTCTGCATTTTTGGATAAAGTTGTTGGATTACAAAAATAAACTCTTAACACTTTAAAATACCCCTAAATCCAGTTCATGAAATGTGATTAAATCAAAATAAGTTTATGGCATGTATTTGTAGAACAATACAACTTAGTATATTTGCTATAAATTTAGAATATATAAGAAATTTTGTGGCATTAACATTGCAGTTGGGTCCAAATCCTAACTAATTTCAGTAAATTTATGAGATTTCTTTACATTGAATATATAGTGAGTCCCTAACTTTGCAAATGTAGTGTTGACAATTTTGTCCTAAAAATCTTAAAATGTATATCTGATTGTTTAAAAAACAACAACAACAACAAAAAAAAATAACTAAGCCTGGCAGTGGTGTTGTACACTGTTAATCCCAGCCCTTGGGAAGTAGAGTCAGAGGCAGGTAAATCTCTGAGTTCATATATAGCCTGGTTTGGAGAATGAGTTCCAGGACAGCCAGGGCTGCACAGAGAATACTGTCTCCAAAAACCAAACCAAAACAAAAAACAATTAAAATGTTAATGAAAACCATTATTAGTAAGACGTTCCTTGAAGAAGAAAAAGTGAAATGCTAGCAATGTAACATATTAATTAGAAAGTAGTATCTAGTTTTACAATCTAAATGCTAATAATGTAGCATTTTTTGTTAGAAAGTCAACACGTGTAGTTTTATAATCTAAATGCTAACAATGAAACATTTTAGTTAGAAAGTCAGCATCTGTAGTTTTATAATCTTACGAGACAGCTTTTTGTATTAAACAGTAAAGAATGGGTTTACTTGTGGAAGTTAGTAGTTAAAAAAAGATGATCAAAGTAATTGATCTACTGTACATGGAGTAACTTTTATCTTGAAGAATAAAGTAAATATGTTCACTTTTTCAACTTCTGATTCTTCAAATGCTGGGATTACAGGTACACAACACCACTCCTGGTGATAATTGTTCCTCTGAGAAGGGCTGGGGCGATGGCCCAGTGCATAAAGTGTATTTGCTGCACAAGTGTGAGGACCTAAGTTTGCATTATCATAATCAACTTAATTAGGCATGGCAGTGTGTATGTAGAATCCCTTTGCCTATGATGAGATGGTAGATGGAGACAGAATTCCTGGAAGACATTGGGCTAGGCAGCCCTGGTGTTCACAATAGTGAGTGGCAAAAAGGGAGACCCTGTATCAAATAAGGTGGAAAGTAAGGATTGAGCCTGAGGTTTTCCTCTTATCTCACCAGCTCACCATGGCACACATGAATGCATACACACATGTAAGTAGAATGTGATAATCTTATCAGTGCTTTAAAGTATAGAGAATAAATCCAAAGATGTAACAGTATGACTTGGCTGTTTTTTTTTTTTTTTTCATTTTCAATTTTGTGTATGTATGGATATATATATATATATATATATGTATGTATGTATATATGTATATATGTATATATGTATATATGTATATGTATATATATATGTCAGAAGACAATTGGGATCATTTCTCTCCTTCAGCCCTGTTAGTCCCTAGCATCAAATGTGGGTTTCTAGGCTTGGCAGCAGGACATTTGCTGGTGATCCATTTCCCTAGTCCATTTCTTTGGATAGAGGTAGTGGGGTTTGAACCTAGGACTTTGCACATATTAGTTATGCTGTCAGTTTTTACAATTGCCATGTGAGGGCTGGAGAAACCTCAGTGTTGAGTTGTATTTCAGAGGACCTAAGTTTGGTTCTCAAAATCTATGTTAACTGCTTGTAACTCCCATCTCTAGGATATCAAGTGTCCTCTTTTGGTCTTTGCACATGGCATATACTCACAACTATACATATAAAAATAGCTCTTTTAAAGAAATTATTAATAATTGCACCTGAAGCTGGAGAGATGGCTCAGTGTTTGG